TCTTTTTTTAGCCTTTATCCAGTGGCTGGAGCAAGAATCTGGTCTACTTTTCCCCTCAATGCGAGTTTTTAGTTCCTCTAAAGGGATGCTTCGAAGGACTAGACTGCTTCTATTCTTGTCGCTGGTTTAACATTTTTATTTATTTATTTCCCCCCGCCAAAGAAAAAGCCCCGCAGATCCTATGCAGCCAAAATTACATACTTGTGGCTTGTTTTGACAGATTTTTTTTTTAAAGATCTGTATTCTCTCCCCCCCATTTGTGTTACTAATCGGTCTTTATATATTATTCTGCATGACTCAGTGTGATGCAGAGATCTCACAAAAAACTTCCCTCGTGGTGCTGCAGAGGTGTATTAATGACAGCACCATGTACCGTATCATCACCAATGCTCTTACAGTAACCACCGGCTCCCGGGTCAGAAAGGTGTCTAGCCACATCTAGATCTTGAATTCATTGCCTTTAATAGGATGGCTCCATGCTCACAGTTAAGCACATGCTTATGTATATTCAGAATCAGCACTGCAGAACCCAGCCCAGCTCCCCCGGAAGTCAATGGGAGCCGGATTGGGCTTTTAGTGCCTACAGTCATCTTCATGTCCTTCGGTTATTAATTTAGGGCCAGATTCCGCCACCCTGACTTGCACTGGGATTGAGTCACAGCCCTTTGAAAGCAATGGCACTTCAACGAGGGCTGAGTCACATCCACGGTGTAGTTCCTTATTCCTGGAGTAGCCCCCACCCTGAATTCAGGAGTACGGTGCTGCTGAGTAGGGGAGGCAGAATCAGATCCTCGGAAAAGATGATCATGAGAACTGTGACCAGACACACAATCCCCCTGCCCTCTGCCCATACATATAGACAGGCATACTCCTGGTGATGACTATGTGATCTCTCAGCATGGGGGGAAATGCAGGCACTTCCTGCTCCTCTTGATAGAAATAAAGGAGACAAGTACAATGGGAGTTCTCCCCATTGAGGGGCCCAATCCCAAGACCCACAACTCCTACTGTCTCCTTCGTCTGCCAAACCAGCAACAGATTCTCAACAGTTGGGGATGCCACACAGATCTCTCTCCTTCGAACTTTGCTGGCCTTTTAGCTCTGAAAACAACTTACATGCATACTAGATAAGCCTATAGAAGAGGAGAGTTAATTACTGGGTACCTTTCACCACCAATCCTGTATCTATAATTAGAGGCTTTTAAACAAACAATGGATAATAAAATAAGCCTATAAAGCAAATGAAAGGAGACATCATACGCTCTACACAGACAAACATAACAGGGTTTGATTTTTTTTAATGAATTAAACTGTTGAGTTCTCATTTTTGTCCTCGCTTGATAAGATTAGAGGATTAAACCAACTTTATGCTAAATGCTCCCTGTTAAGAGAGCCACACCAGGGCTTATTGTGTGTTGGCACGCACAGAGATCACAGCAATATCACTCAGAGACTCACAGTACGACCAACTATAACTTCAGAAATAAAAATCACGATTTATCCAGATATTCCATATGCAGCCAGGGCAAGAATTCCCTCCCCTGAAAGTGGAGCGGGATTGTTATTCATTAAGCACTCGTACACAACAGGCAAGTTTTTGTATAAGCAGTGGGCTTTTTATCTTGGATCATTGACATCATAAGAGGATTTTGGAGTGGGGGGCGGGAAGGAGGTGAACTGGCTGACACCTCCCCACATCCTCTGCCCCAATCCACACCAACAAATTAATAGCCCGACATAATCTCTCAATACCACACACACTAAGCCTACCCCTACACACTCATATCATACAAAGTATTAAACGAAATGCTCACCCTCCTGATCTGCAGCCGATGAATGATAAACACCCAACTGTTCAAAGTTCTCCCCTAACTGATCATCTCTTCTCACCCGCCTCACCGGGGTGTTTGTGGGGCTTAATGTTCATAAAGCATGAGAACTTTGGATGGAATCAACCATGGACGGTAAAGGGCAAAGTATTATTTTTAAGAACAGGTAACAAAACCTGTGACCATCTCTAGACAAACCAAGTAGAGGCTTTGTCCACATTAAATCATTTAATTCTGCAATATTCCAAATACGAAATATAGACGGTCAGGTTCTCCTGCCCTTACTCACCGTGAAGTGCCTTAGCGCACTCAGATCAAAGGGACTATTCGCAGGGCAAGGTACCTCTCACTGTAGATAAAAATGGCAGAATCCAGCCCAGAGAGCTAAATCTAGCCATCGTGTAATGAGTGACTTCAGTTTTGTTACCCCAGGGATGAATTTGGCCCCATATACTGCAGAAACGGAATCATATTCTTCGTAGCAGTGGATGACTGGAACATTACGGATATTATTTTCCAGTCCCCAGCCAGGACCGCGCATATTGCGCCATTATACATTGTTTTGGGCCATTGGCTTATCCCAGTGTGTATCTAGGGGAAACAGTCAAAAATAGTGATGGCTAGTTTCCCCTTGAATGGTTTTTCTATTAGATATGAATTGCCCTCCCCAAGGAAGTGTTCCCCTCATAGGAACAGCAGTCTTTGCAGGGAGAGTGATTGGGGAGGGGGGAGGGAGGGAGAGCAGATCTTTCACCATATTGAAGAGACTTGTTCCATCTGTTGTCTCTCTCACCAACCCACGTCTGTATTATTCCAGGCTCTGAGCCTATCAACCTATAAGCCTCTGCAAGGTGCTAGAGAGACTGGCTTGATGTTTCTAACCTCTGAAGATGTTCCGAGTATGATAAAAGAAATCCAGCTATTGAAACGTTTTCCCACAATACAGTTACTGTGTTGCTAGGTTTCCATCCAGACACAGCCTAAAAAAAAGAAGCAATCAGAGAGAGAGAGAGAGGCGCTGCTGCTGTGGATAGCTTTATCAGTGCTTGACAGGGGTGGTTGGGAGGAGGGATGGGTGGGATGGATGGGTCCTGAATAAAGTTTGGTCTCATATGAAAGAACAGAATCAAGTTCCAAAATCTAATCCCACTTTTGGCTAGACCTTTTTTTTTCTTTAATTGAGTTTGGTAGGTTGGTAAATTACATGTGTGTGTGTTTATTCCATCATCTGCGGTGTATTCTGATTCAAGCACAACAGCAGCAAATTGATAGACTGATCCCCCTAACACACACCTACTCACCCTCTTTCACTGATCCTGCATCCTCCAGAGGCAAAACCGAGCATGCACCAGCCTGGTTTTAAAAGGCTCTGATTTGCCGGTATATTACATTAAACCCTAACAGACTTGGTTCAGCTGTCAAAATGCTATCCCAGTAATTGCATAAGCAGAAGCAACATAATTGGCATGCTACTGCCGGGAGAGTACAAGGGTCGCTTTGTGTGGGAAACAAATGGAACAGGACAGAGGCCAGGGCTCAATGCAGGACATGTGTAGCATCCTGCACCTGTCCTAGCGGAGGGCTGATTTTCTCTCATCCCCATGTGCCCCCATTCACCCAAGGCCTCTTTCCTAGTCACCCTAGAGGCAGATTTTCAAAAGAGCCCAGCTCGGAGTAGCTCCCTTTGTTTTCGGTGGATGCCCAGCACTTTGGAAAGTCTGATCACTACAGCCCAGCCCTTCACACATTAATAATAAACCCGAATAAACAGTAAAACCCTTGGGGGCAGAGCTCTCTCTGTTCTGGGTTTGTGCAGCACCTAGCACATGGGGTTCTGGTCCACGACTGAGGCTCCCAGGAGCTACAGCAATACAAACAAACAACAAAACAATACACAATAATCCTCAGAAACGGGTCTAGTTTGGGGGGCACACATTGCTATCCTGATGAAGTCACTGCAATGTAAGCCCAGGGTTAGTAGAACTCAAGGTAACAGCCCCTGGGTTTGTTAACCTAAGGCTTGGGCACGTAACCTCAGGTTGTAACTATCGAACGCTGGGCCCCAGCCTGGGGCTCTGGCATCTGCACTGTATTATGCAGGCCGGAGTCCAACCACCCACATCCCAGACTTCCCACAATGTGGCCGCTGTAGCCCTCTGTTCATGGTGCCGGGTGGGAAAACTTCACTGTCCACCAAACCAGACTGTCCAGAGGACAAAGGAAGCCAGCCCATGGCCGCTCTGGGAGTCTGCCCAAAATACAAATCCACTGAGGTTGCCTCTACATTGCAAAGCAATAGGGCTTGAACCCTGGGTGTCAGCTTGCCTCAGGCTGGGACCCTCCACTCTCATGGGGTTTTGGGTCCAAGCCCAGGTTAGCAGGATGAGTGTGTTGAGGGAAGGTGGTAGGAGGAGAGAAGGCTTTAGCCCGAGTTCAAACCCTGGCCCCATGCCCTGATCTCTGTTAGGGTAAGACCTAATGAGGGGAGCAGATTGAGGACCCACAACTGCTGCTGCGGGGTTCTTACGCCGTCCTCCGACACATTGGTGCGGGCCACTGCCCAAGACCGTACCCTGTCCTAGCTGCACTTTAGGAACAGCCAATCTGGGTCAGATCTCCGTATTCACACACACTCTGTGCGCTCCCCGGACCCTCTCCCCCCGCACAGCCTGGGACACAACGCGGCTCCGTCCTGACACTCCGCTTGGAGCGAACAGAAGGATCCCGCCGCAGCCCCAGCGCAATCGGTGCATGACAGAGTCACCGCCCGGGGAAACTCTCCTTGGTGCCCGTTCGGGACCTCTCCAAAGCCCGCCCGGAGAGCGCGCCGCACGCACCCCGGCCCCAGGGACTGATCCGCGGTAGCCATCGCAAGCCCCTGCCACACTCAGACCCCGCAGCCCAGCCCCACGGGGCACACTCAGAGCCAGCTGCGGGGAGGCGAAGGGCTGGGAGGCAAGTGACCCAGAGGGGCCTAACGCGCCGGCTGGGGCTCGGAGCCGGGACAGGACGGATCCTGTCCCCGATCGGAAGCAGCTGGGTCCAGAGCTCCTGGGTCGTCCCCCCAGCCGGGACACCCCCGGCTGCTACCGCTCGGCTCCCTCCCCATCGCCGCAGCCTTCTCCCCTGCACCGGCCTCCCTCCCACTGCGCGGCGTGGGGCAGCGCTTACCTCGGCCCAGCCGGTGGGAGCAGCCGTGCGGGTGGCCGGTGGCCGGAACACTGCGGTGGGCAGGGGGGAGGCGCTCTTCTCAGCGGGCGCCCGGCCACCGGGCTGCTGGGTCCCCCCCGGAGCGCTACGGTGCCCAAGGACCGGGGCTCCCCTTCCTGCCGCAGCACCGGAGCGGGCTCGCTCCCCACCGCCTCGTGGGGCACCGCTCCCGCCTGGCACAGCCCGGCCCCCTTCGCCCCGGTCCGGACCGCGGGCACCCGGAGCGCACCGGCTCCCCAGCCGCCCGGCGCACAGAGCCCGCGCCCCCGGAGCGCACCGGCCCGCCCGCTGCACACACCCCGGAGCGCCCCCGCGGCCCGACCAGCGAGGAGCGTCTCCCCCGCACCCAGCCCAGCGAGCCGCCGCCGCCTCCTTTTATTGCCGCCCAGCTTTGTTTTGGTCTCGGCTCCTACCATCGCTCGCCGGGCCGTCGGGGGCGGGGCGCTGCAATCAGGCCCCCGCGCGCCCCATCCGCTCGCAGCCCCCCTCCGCCCGCGGGGTGACAGCCGTGCCGGGGCTCAGCCGGCGCCGCGCCGCGCCCGAGGCGTCCTGGGCTGCGGCTTGGCTTCCCTCTCCCCCTGCAGGGACGGCAGCGTTGGTTCAGCCGAGCTATATATTCTGCCGGCAGAGGCTGGCGCTGGGGCAGTCGCGAGTTGAAGCTAGGAAGGGGAGGGTGCTTTGCTGAATCTAGCCTGCGCTTCCCGGTTCTGCTCCTTACCCAGCCTGCCTGGCCCACCCTCCTGCGCAGGGCGGCTGGGCTACACTACTCGTGTTGTCTGCAGCAAGTCGCTCCCCGGCTGAGATGGGGAAGCCTTCTCCTGCTCCAGCACTGGCCGTCACAGCATCGCCCCGGTAGGTGCCCTGCAGAGGTGTTTCAGGCCTTCCTCCTAAAGCAGCTGGCTGTGGCCACCTTAAGAGACGCTGTACATTACCAGGCCCTCCGTTCTGCTCCTTGCTCCCCCACTTGCACTTTGCACCCATCGCTTAGTGCTTAATTTGTGCCAAGACTGAGCCCCGGCACCTCCGGGCTCGGCCGTTCATAGCCCCGGCACCTCCGGGCTCGGCTGTTCGTAGCCCCGGCACCTCTGGGCTTGCTCCATCAGTTATGAATGCAAAAAAATTTGCTTGTGCCCCAGTACCTCTTTCATTACACAGTAAGCACTGCTTAGCCTCCAGCTCAGCTACCTCCCCTGTAAAGGGGGAGGGGAGTTTTCCACTTCTGCCTTTCCTTTGAGACTCTTAAACCCACTTCCACACTGGTGAAGGAAGCTTCACAAACACCACATAAGATCAGCCATACTGGGTCAGACTAAAGGTCCATCTAGCCCAGTATCCTGTCTGGCGACAGTGGCCAATGCCAGGTGCCCCAGA